GTAACAGGACTGTCCTACTGTACTGGGACTGTAGCCTCTATTGTAACAGGACTATCGCATTGTAGTGCTGGACTGACAGTACAGTGGTGGGAGTAAGGAACTCTACCGTTGAAGGATGCTGTATACAATTTGCAGTCTGACTACTGGATTGCTGTGTGTCTGTTACTCCACAGTGGGAGCAGAGAGAGGAGAAACAAACTGTGGTGCCTAACATGACAGGTGAGTCCTCTATCGTTAGGCTCATGAGCTTTAGTTAACAGGCAGAGTTTGCAACTCACCTTTATGCTTGTGGCTCTTGGCAACTCTTTAAAGCCTTTTGATTGCTGCTTTGTGTGCTGGAAGTGTTGTGGCTTCGTTGTGCCCAGGGAAATCAGGGTGTCAGCTGGGGCCGTGGGGTTCAGTGTGATCCTTCTCATTCATCTCTTTCAGATCGGGCGAACAATTTCCCTCCTCTGCCCCGCTTCATCCCCCTGAAGCCGTGTTTCTATCAGGACATTGAGGAGGAGATTCCAGCACAGCACCACCTGCTGGTCCGCAGGGTGTACTACCTCTGGATCTGTGAGTCGCTGCTCACGGAGTGTGTCAATTTTCAAGTGTGCTGCAGTCTCTGTGTGTCTGTCTGTGTGTCTTAGTCTACTTGTGTGTCTGTGTACTTGTTTGTGTTTGTGGGTGTTGGTTGTTTCTGTGTATTAGTGTTATAGTGCGTGTCTCTGTCTGCGTCTGTGTACTGGTGTGTCTGTGTACTAGTGTGTGTTTCTGTGTACGTGTCTATATAATAGTGTGCCTATTTATTTGTGTATCTGTGTTTGTAAGTGTATTAGTGTGTGAGTCTCAGTGTACTAGTGTGTCAGTGTGGTAGTGTGTGTCAGTGTGTGTATTGCTGTGTTAGTGTACTAGTGTGTGTGTCAGTGTGTGTATTGCTGTATGTCAGTGTGTGTATTGTTGTGTGTTAGTATACTAGTGTGTGTGTCAGTGTACAAGCCCTTCTCTCTCCCCAGTGTACTCAGCCACCCTGGTGGTGAACGTGGTGGCCTGTGTGGCCTGGTGGGCAGGAGGGGGTAATGGTGCCAACTTTGGGCTGTCGCTGGTCTGGCTGCTGCTCTTCAGCCCCTGCAGCTATGTGTGCTGGTTCCGCCCCCTGTACAAGGCCTTTCGGTGAGTCTGCACACCCCCTCACACCCTCACGCACTCCTGATGCACTTCTGACACACCCTTGCTCACTTCTGACACACCCTTGCTCACTCCTCACACACCCTCTAACCCTCACACACTCCTGACACCCCTCACGCACTCCTGACACCACCTCTCCCCCTCACGCACTCCTGGCACCCTCTCACACCCTCATGCACTCCTGACACCCTCTCACCCTCACACACTCCTGACACACCCTCTCACACCCTCACGCACTCCTGACACCCTCTCACACCCTCATGCACTCCTGACACCCTCTCACCCTCACACACTCCTGACACACCCTCTCACACCCTCATGCACTCCTGACACCCTCTCACCCTCGCTCACTCCTCACACACCCTCTCACCCTCACACTCCTCACACACCCTCTCACCCTCGCTCACTCCTCACACACCCTCTCACCCTCACACACTCATGACACACCCTCTCACCCTCACGAACTCCTGACACACTCCTGACACACCCTCTCACCCTTGCTCACTCCTCACACACCCTCTCACCCTCGCTCACTCCTCACACACCCTCGAAACCTCGCACACTCCTCACACACTCCTGACACCCCTTCGTGCACTCCTGACACACCCTCTCACCCTCACTCACTCCTGACACACCCTCTCACCCTCACTCACTCCTGACACACCCTCACTCACTCCTGACACACCCTCACGCACTCCTGACACACCCTCTCACCCTCGCTCACTCCTCACACACCCTCTCACCCTCGCTCACTCCTCACACACCCTCTCACTCTCGCTCACTCCTCACACACCCTCTCACCCTCATGTACTCCTGACAACCCCTCGCGCCCTCCTGACACACCCTCTCACACTCCTGACACCCCCTCCTGCACTCCTGACACCCCTTTGTGCACTCCTGACGCACCCTCTCACCCTCACGCACTCCTGACACACCCTCTCACCCTCACTCACTCCTGATACCCCCTGCTAACTCCTGACACACCCTCTCACTCTCTCACACTCCTGACACACCCTCATGCACTCCTGACAGACTCTCGCTCACTCCTCACACACCCTCACACACTCCTGACACACCTCTCACCCTCACACACTCCTGACACACCCTCTCACTCCTCACACACCCTCTCACCCTCGCTCACTCCTTACACACCCTCTCACCCTCGCTCACTCCTCTCACACCCTCTCACCCTCGCTCACTCCTCACACACCCTCTCACACTCCTGACACCCCCTCCTGCACTCCTGACACCCCTTTGTGCACTCCTGATGCACCCTCTCACCCTCACGCACTCCTGACACACCCTTTCACCCTCGCTCACTCCTGATACCCCCCGCTCACTCCTGACACACCCTCTCACTCTCTCACATTCCTGACACACCCTCATGCACTCCTGACAGACTCTCGCTCACTCCTCACACACCCTCACGCACCCCTGACACACCCTTTCACCCTCGCTCACTCCTGACACCCTCACTCACTCCTGACACACCCTCTCACCCTCCTTACGCACTCCTGACACCCCCTCTCACCCTCACGCACTCCTGACACCCCCTCTCACCCTCACGCACTCCTGACACCCCCTCTCACCCTCACGCACTCCTGACACCCCCTCTCACCCTTACGCACTCCTGGCACACCCTCTCAGCCTCACTCACTCCTCACACACCCTCTCACCCTCGCTCACTCCTCACACACCCTCTCACCCTCGCTCACTCCTAACACACACTCTCACCCTCACACACTCATGACACACCCTCTCACCCTCATGCACTACTGACACACCCTCTCACCCTCGCTCACTCCTCTCACACCCTCACACACTCCTGACACACCCTCTTACCCTCGCTCACTCCTGACACACCCTCATTCACTCCTGACACACCCTCTCACCTTCCTTATGCACTCCTTCTATTCTATCTAATTGCATCTCTGACATAAAAATTTGGATGACTCAAAACTTCCTTCATCTTAACTGTGACAAGACTGAAGTCATGCTTATTGGTACCCCCCATCAACTTCGTAAAGCCAGTCCTGTAACCCTGTCTGTAG